CGGGGGGGGGGGGGGGGGGAATGAAAGTCCAATAAGCAGAAAGGAAACAGAGGGACTTTTGAAGGAAAGCAAACAATGTTCAGTCTTTCACTTATGACCAAACACTACTTGCTACCGAAGCTTCCAGATACAATAAAGAAGCCATTGTTACCCAAGCAGACTTTGGACCCCCTTTTGGTAAGTATCAGAACAAGAGTTGTAATAGTGCATTTGCCATGCTCTATATGCAGAGCAAAGAGAAGATAGCTTAAAGTTAACAGACGTCTTTTACCAAATTTGCAAGTGAAATGAAACTCACCTGCATTCCAGGTTTGTTCATTTGTGAAGCCAAGTTCATTGGTTCCCTTTCTAGTGCTTGCAACATTCGGAACATATCAACTGTTAATTCACTGAACTTTACCTGAAAGAGGAACAGTGCTGTCACTAATGCATCCTGTCTGGCACAGAGAAAATAGGCTCTCTGCTTCCTAATAATTATCCAGGTAAGATCTTTCAACTTAGTACTGAAAATATGAGACTAAAAGCCTTTACAATATCTAGAAATGTCCAACATTTGTTTAAGATACTTATAACTGCACTGCTTATGTGCAGAAAGCATAGCGGTGACGAAAGCCACTAGACCACACTGTTAGCTAAAGACAGCAAGTTCCCCCTGTGCCGTCGAAAAGACATTCATCTGTTGTATCACCGGTGATGGGACCCTCACACAGAAGAGCCACATAACATGCGACACAACAGATCAGGTTTTTCCAGACAAGACTGTCCCACAGAAGACAGGGCACTATCGCATTTTAAATACACACAACAGACTACAGGCATCAGAGGAGAGATCATTCTTAACTGGCATAATGGCTACAAGTGATTACAAAAGACGTGTGGCAATAGGCGGATTTGGAGAGGTCACTAACCTTGCACCAAGTTGAGCTGGATCAGTTTTACCTCTATGGCTGCTCTGCCGTAGGATGTCCCCATGCACCCTTGACTAAAGAATGCAAAGCACCGTGTGCAGGGCTGCACCTGACAGTGCCTTGTATGCCCAGATGAGGGCAGATAACAAGAGGCACAGACCTGCTGTCACCCAGTTCCTCCCTGACCACGAAGGAGCAGGGCTCCGCTGCAGAGGGAAAGCGAGGTGGAGCACCCGTAGGGACAAAACATGAACTCAGTGACTCCAAGGTAACTAACCCTCTCCTTCAGGTGTGTCCCTGTGGGTGCTCCACTGCAGGAGACTCCCCAGCAGTAACTCAACAAAACCAGTCCAAGACAGGTCAGAGAACCATCACCAAAGGTAGCTTCATCCCTAGTAGCAGGTAAGACAGCACAGTGCTTGGGGAAGGCATGAACAGAAGACTGAACTGCAGTCCAACAAGTTTATTAGGGGAAAGTCTTTCAGGAGAGCTCTGCAGCAGCTCAAATGCCCGTCACTAGGGTGAAGATGAGGCAGACCTAGCTGAGGTTAAATCCAAGGTATTTGGCGTCACCCAGAGCGCTAATGGACCAAAACAGAAGACTTAAAAATGGGAGAGAGGAGGTAACCACCCTTCTAAACACAACTGTGTTAAAACTGAGAAATAAAATAATGGACCAAATAAAGAAAATGCTAAGGATCGTATGTTCAAGAAAGGCGGGAAGCGGAGAATCGATAGACATGCAACCTTTCAGGCTCCAGCTGCAGCCAGCTGAGAAAGGACTTAATGGTGGTAGGTTCAGGCCACCTTCAACGTCCTCATCTGGAGACACAAGGTGCTGCTCTGTGCAGCACAGTCCTGTGGACACTGCTTTATATTCTCCAGTCAAGGCTACTCGGATGCGAGAGTAGCCTAGTGTGGAACACGCACATGGACGTATACTTTAGACCAGGCAGTCCTCGCTGGTTAGCGCTCATGTTTGCCAAACGTTCAGCTCATTTACATCTTACCATCCTTGCTAAAGATTTTATATTTGCCTCTTTTGGACTCAGCAATTTCCTTTAGTAGAATTAGGGGCAAAAACCCTAGTTGTTTTCAACTCCAGTAGATCACCGAACATACAATTCCTTGTCTCCGTTACCTGATTATTGCAATTCCCAATAATTAATGCATCTGCAAGAGTGAGCTGTCCAACGATCATTCCCTGCTCCAGCAACGGGGCCCCTGTTTCAGCCAGTCGGTTGGAGGTGATCACGATGGTATTGTCGTCATTTAAAACCATCACAGGATCTGCCTGGAAAGAGAACCAGCACAGAGCATCAATGCCAAGGAAGCCGACAGGGTCCTTGAGCACAAGCAAAAGGGGCTCCGTGTCCTGTCACTCATGGTATCCAATAGCTCAGGGGTTGGCAATCTACGACACGCATGCCATAAGTGGCACGCAAGCGACTGTCATTGGCATGCAAGGTGGGAGCTCAGTCCTACCCCTCCTCCCCCACACAGCCAGGAGCCTGCGCCAGCTTTCTCTTAACGTGTGTGTCTACGTGAGAAAGCACCAAAACATTCTCAGCTAAGCCCAGCCCCCACCGCAGCAGCACCCACTTTCCTCCTGCTCCTGGAAGGTGAGTGTCATGACTGCTCCAGCTGGCAGGGGCAGAGTTGCCCCAGGGCTGTGTTGGGAGGTGGCTGCTCAGGCGGCTGCTCTGGCAGCCCAGGCCATGTTGTGGGCCAGCTGTTGCTGGGGTTGAGGCCACGTAGCGGGGCGGCTGGTGCCGGCATTTCAGGCTGAGAACACATGGCAGGCAGGAGGGCTGCTGCTGCAGTGTGTTGAAGCCACAGCCAGGCAGGTTGTTGCCAGGGGGTGGAAGCCACAGGAATTGGGAGCCACAAGCGGGCAGGCAGGCTGGAGATGGGGACAGGCCCATGGCCACATTGGGGGTGGCTACTTGGGCAGCCTCTCTGGCATGTCATAGCTTGTCAAGCCTCGACTCAGAGGCTTGTGGGCTGCTTGAAGTATCCAACTATAAGCCTGAGATCAGAGAACTCAGCAAGGCCACGGCTCACACTAAACGGTAAGATCTGCATCTTATTTATTAGTGAAACTGCAGGAAGTAGGACTATTATTGACTTTACAAAGTATCACCGGCACACTGACTCGTAAACAGAAGTGAAGAAATTAAATCTCGGCTGAAATGGGAACACCCTTTATTTTCTTAATTTGCCTTTTCTATCCTAAGGCCACAGAGGAATTCCAGCCTGGAAGAGGAGCTGCTCTTCGGGACTAGAAGGAATTTCCGGGGAAATTTAAACACAGACATTTGTGTTGTAGCACTTTTAAGTGTAGTTAGGAGAAACTACCCAGGCAAGATAAACCATCTAACTTAGTCCAGTTCGTTCCCCCTGATTCTGGGAACCTTACACAATCCCTGTGGGCAATCCACATGCAGCCCATGCAGATAACGGATCATGTGGCAGAAAAGTACATGCGTACACATCATAGAAACGGAGAAGAGCAGGACGCGGTCTCCTATTTTAGAGAAGAAATCTTGGTTTTCCTTCGTAGCTATAATTTTGCCCATTTTAAGTCTTGCTGTGCCAAGACATACTGTCAGTGTAACTGCCAAGATTATCCTCTATTTTCCATTACATATTGCTTATGCATTGCCAGAATAATATGCCAATACAAGCATCAAAATACATTCATTTGCAAGTTACTAATAATATAGTCAGAATGTCAGCAAACGGCATCAGCGGGCCTCCCACAAAGACGGGCTGGCAGATCGATGCCAGTTACTATCCCGATGGTTGTTTTCCGATCCCAATGTCACTTGGCCACCAGGTGAGAGAAAGGAGGAGGCGGGTTGCTGGAAGACAGCAATTCTCCTGACACCTCCACGCGCTGCTAGCTCTGTGTTGCTTGAGGAAATTTGACACGAAAGTCACATGCACCTCAACAGCTTCATTGGCTTGCTCCCAATGGCATGGCTTCAGAGAACAGTCCACAGCAAAGAGTTCCCATGTTTTGCCTTTAAAGTGTGAGTTTGGTTTTTTGAAGGACACTTTCAAACAAACCGCACAGACCAAAGTTCCTTCACTCTCACCTCAACAAAAGCCGCCACCTCTTGAAGAACCAGATTCCACTCCACCTGGTCCTCAGTGTTAAAGCGGTGAGTGTAATCTTCAATCTCATCTGATAATTCCTGAGGTAAACAGGCCAAAGGAAGAAGAATGAATAACTAAATGTAAGGCAGTCAAGTATCACAGGTCAGGTGGCTTCAGCACTGCTTAGATGTCTCATCCCTGAAATTTCATTCCAGAAGTATTGATTGTCACTACCCACAGGCCTTATCCAATATGGAATCTGGCCAAGAAGTTGGCCAACATGTGCAACTTCAGGCCCCAGGATTGCAGGTACTGTGGCTTTGTATTCTCAGAACACAAATGTACGTCAGACAGGCCCACAAGTAAGGGACACAAAATTAACTGGCACACATGCCATGCTATCAAGCCCGTTATTTTACATTCTTGCTATCAAGTTCTCACTCACATCTAAGGTTACAGAGAACTTTGAACAAGTTCAGGAAGTGAATGGCCTGTCTTTCCCAGCTGCCTCCTCCACTAGTTCTTGTTGTGCAGCACTTTGGTATTCATCCCACCGGACCCACACAGGCCAAGAGCAGCACAGCCCACACAACACTGCCAGCACCAGGATATGGCTTGCAGCAGGGTAGGAAGGCCCTTGGGAAGTCCGGCGTTCCCGTCATTACTCTTTGGAAAGCAAGACTCACCAGAAACAGACACCCAGCTTCAGGCACCTCCCCAAGCACAATAATGTTCCCCCCTTCCTGGCAACCAGCACGTCACTGGAACGTAACTTCCTGCCCCCTCCCCCCTTCCCAAGCACAATAAAAAAAGTATCTAATTTGGTCCAGGATATTCTCTCAACTCTAAACATGCTGAAGATCCACCGCTGCTCACTGACATACTCTGGTCTGTATCCCGATCCCCAGTGGTCTACTGTCCCCCTAAGCATGACGCAGTTCTGAAAAGCATGTCTCCCCCTCACCCCTGCCAGGCGCACACAGGCGATGCCTTTCCTGTCCCTTCATGTCTCAAGTCTTTCCCAATCTTGTTTCTGGCAACGCACACTAGATTCTTCTCATTTGCAAGAAATACCCCAGAGACTCCCGACACCAGATTGGAAAGGAACAGACCGCTGTGCTGAGCAGACGGTTTAACAACAAAAAAAGGGGAAAGATTTCATGGAGAGGGAGGGTCATGGAGACATCTGAGGTCAGAGAGAGGTGGGAGGTACAGGCCAGGGAGGAGGGAGGTACACCTAAAGAGATGGCCTCCTCAGCACTCAGACAGCTGAAGCAAGCGTGATGGTCACATCCACACTGCATGGAGTTTATCCAAACCCAGCTTCATGAAATCTGCCTTCCACCAATGGCAAAACCACTCTCTGGTGCCTTACAACTATGAGATGCACAGAACACCTCAGGAAGCAGTTCATCCCACTGCAGCCCCTGAAGAGGTAAGATTAACAGAACAGCAGCAGCAGCTGAGATCTTGTGAGAGATTTTATCTGAAAGTATTCATATCCTGGAAGCTATGATACCCCACTACAAAACAGATCTGCACAGTTAGTGGCCTGCATTACATGGGCATGTACACTTTGCATTGCCCTCACAGAATTCATTTACCTTTACGAGATCCTTCACAACATCCATTTTGTTGAGCAAGAGACAAACCACTATAAACCTTGCATAGTAACGCAGCTTCTTAACCACCAGTTCAGGCCTGGAGAATAAAAAGAAAACACCAATGCAGTGGTTGTGGAAAATGACCATCTGTGCTGACCTAGCAAGAATTCAAGCAATCTAGGGACTCCTCTAATCTAGAGCTGCTGGACATCATCCCTAAAGGGCCCCACCCATCAGCTAAGGCTCAGCAGAGCTCCGTGCTGTCTCCTGCACATCCTCTACTCAAATGCAGGATGTGGGTGGCTGGCGCAGGAGCTGGCCCTACTGGATTTCTGCCAGTGTATGGGCAGAACCTCACTCCTTTATGTGATCTGATGATGGATCACAAGTGAGATTCTGGACCAATGAGTCAAACCCCCAGAGACAACTGAACATTAAACCTCCACAAGTTACATTATGTGTTATAATTGCTTATCACATTTAAAAGGGGACATTTCTGCCAATGACATTGAGTCTGAAGAAGCTCAGACACCCTGACAGGATTGGGGAGATTCTCCAAGGAAAAATAAGCGTGATCCGAGGCCAACAATGAAGGACACTAAAATGGTTTAGTCTAGCTTCAGACTTTCAGTGAACATGTTTAGAGGAAAAAAAAAATAAAATCAGTAAGTCCCTAGACTCTGCCAATCAAATCAAAAGTTCTTGAGTGCCAGTAACAAACTGGGCAAACAATTCTCCACTGCAGCAATCAGTATAAAAATGGCTTCCTAAAAAAAAAAAAAAAAAAATCCAAATCACTTCTTCCCCAATTCTAATTGGACAGAGGCCCGATCTCCCAGCCAGAACTGCCTGATTTCAGCCTTGCTCGAACTGAAGTCTCCTAGTCTCTCAGGAGCCTGAAGTGTTAAGACTACACCTCACAGCATCCTTTTCAACAAGTTCTGCTCAGGATTGCTCCCACCGGAGCATACTTCTCATTGCTTTCTAGAATAGTTAATGGATGGGGAGGACCACAATAGCAGCCTTAGCACACCTGACAAGGGTAAACTGCCAACATCAGTAAATATGAAGAAACTTGTTATTTTCTCTATTTGCTTCTGCATGAGAGAGAACACTATGGAGGTAATTTCCAGGGATAGCACTAATACCAAGGGCTGGGAAGGACACAGATGA